TTAATTAAATTTAGTTCCATCAAATACTTTATAGTAGAAAAAAATTTCCTGCTTCTTGATCAGTTACCTTTATGCTATCACATATTTAAACCATTTTCTGCAATCTCACCTGCCAAGTCATTTGTAAGGCAAAATGACCTACAGTAACACATTTACTTGAACTACTCCTGAAGGAGGAAGAAATTTTATCTACCATGCTGCAATGAGGCCAACAAGTTGCCATGAGTAATCTGCACTTAAACACTGATGATCACGTTAACTCAATCTGTTTTCTTGATTACCAGTACACTGAAGTCCACACACCAATTATGACCTCTTCCATTTCTGGATATACTGTTCATGTGAAATAAACAAGTTCAGCGCTATTCTCTTTAAATCCTCTTACTGGTCGCTATCCGGTTTGCTCACTCAGGACTCTTCTGAGAACTTGGAGATCCTTTACATATCACCTTACTAATTGCAAGAAGTCAAGTAAATTCTCTTTTCTGAAAATAAGTCATCAGTGTTTGGTCCACCATCATGGTTTCCAGGAAGGAAATTACAGCAGTCAAAACAATCAAGCATTGTATTCTTGGGATGGATATTTTGACACCTTGAATTTTGCCATAGAAATTTCTTCCATTTGAATGAATCAGAAAGCTGGGAAAAAATGAGTAAAAAAAAATAATACAATAGGCTGTGATTCATGTCTTTGCTGTTAAGTGGCTACATGCATTCGCACCATGTTAGCAAGGAAAAGAAACCCAGGCTAGTATATGCAACAGCAAATATGTGACACATCCACTGGATTTCAAAGCTGCATCTCTGACAAAGTGCTTTGACACCATCATGATGAGTCCAGTAGGAAAATATGAACGCAAAGTTAGAAGGAACAGTTGAAGAAATCATCTTCTGGCAGTAGGAATCCTTTCCTGAATTAGGTAACATTTTAGTGGCAGAATCACAGAATTGAATGGCTTGGAAGGAGCCTCAAGAGATCATCGAGACCAGCCCCCTACAAAGCAGGTCCTTACAGCAAGCAGGCAACACAGCTCAGCATCCAGGCAGGTCTTGAATATTTTCAGAGAAGCAGAATCCACAGCCGCCCTGAGCAACCTGTTCCAGTGCTCTGTTACCCTCACCATGAATAAGCTCCTTTAGAACTTCCTGTGCTCCAGTTTATGACTGTGTCTCCAAAGACTGCTGAAAAGAAGCTGGTCATTTCCCTTTGTCTTCCAGTGATGTTAAGCATGATGATGCTAAACACACATGATTCTCAAGATGATGTTAAACACAAGTGGTCTAGAGATTTTGCAAGCACCATTTGGCTTCTAAAATCTTTTAATTCAAGCCTGAAACTTGACTACAGGTGTACACTGACTTATCACTATGTAGAAACTTCATGTTGGCCTGCAGGATGCAGGGAAGTGAGGAGGCAAGCTGTAGGTAGACATGACAGCTACCTAATGGCACCTATGTCTGAAGTGAAACGATTCACCATTTTCCCTACTAATACCAAAGATATGGTAGTGGGGAAGGAGAGTTTAGGAAACTGCATCATAAGGAAGCATGCATTCTAGTAATGGTTTGCTTATGCAATTTTGAACCTACATACTTTAAATTGACTACCTGTACAACTTGGCCGATTGTTTCCAATAACAAGGTGGAAATACAGATCACATCTTTACTACATAAAGCAATAAAACAACAGTTGGCAGTCAGTGCTTGCAAACATCCACCTTGCCAAAACATCCAAGGTCATCCAAGGCATCAGTCACTGGCTCTGCACACACAAGCTGAGGTCTGTTGGTAGCACTGTCTGACAATCAGAATGTATTTGTTTACTTATGAGACAGCATGCCTCATTCTATGAAACATAGTAATTTCTCCTATAAATCAGCATAATATCACTGATCTCACCTATCTGTGGCTGAGTTTGACCTGTAACACAGGTTCACACAGTAGAGGCAGGTGCTGCACCTGTAGTTCAGCCATCACACCACAGGTGTGGTGTTCTGGATATGCAGCACAGACCTACACGGCTCCCTTGTGCTTTCTAGCACCTCTCAGAAGTCAGCCCTCAAATGTCAGACCTAATGAAAAGAAAGCCAATATAGAACAAGGGTGGGCCCCCCAAAAACCATTAATAGACTTTATGCATAGTAGCATGACTTACACCATCCTCAGCTCCCCTCCAAGCAACAAAATATAGAATAAATTTGGGGTAGGGGAAGATTAAAAAAAAGCCCAAAATTTTGATTTTGATAATCAGTTATTTTCACTTCAAGGGCGATAGAACAAAGAAAGTTCAACAGAATTTGGAGATCTGTAACTGAGAAGTTTCACTTCAAACATAACAAAACCATTCCAATAAGCTTCAAATTAAAAATTCAAACATTATCCAAATACATCATTAATTTAATTATTAGATAAGACAACTTAACGTGGCACTAAGTTAAACCAGAGGAACTTTTTTCTTTAATTTTTCAACAAAAAGCAGAAAATGCTTTTATTTTGACTCAAAAAAAGTTTTTTTTTCCCCACATTTTGATTATCTTCTGAAGCACGTCTCTTTTCTGCCAATCACTACAGAAAAAGGTTGTGTGGAGTCACACAGCACATAAATGAGAGCAACCAATGTTGCAAATACTGATTTGAACAGGTTTTTAACAGTTAAAAAAGAAAAAAAGTTTCAATTTCAGAAGTTGTAAGTTAGCCTAGATGAAGGGGAAGAGGAAAGAGAATTAAATTTCCTTATTCTTAAGAAGTATATGTTTTTATGTGATTTTCTTTGGGAATCAGTCTGGCACACAAAACTGGATTTGTACCTAGTATGGGCTGCATGTTATTTTCTGAAGATTTTCAACTTTATACGTACTCAGCAATTTACGAGATTAAAGTAACTATTCTTGGCCAAAAATAAAAGGCAAAATACGCTTTCAGAGCATGAGCGCTTCTTTTCTTTCAGAGAATGCACTCATAGCAGATCAGTAAGATGACAAACCAAACCAGAAATTGCTATTTTTCCTTGTGCTGGATTTCCAAACCATTGTGATGACGCTTCACAAGCAAACAAAGCAGGAAGTTTCAATATTGTAGTACTCCTTGGCTGTAAGCACAAAGTTCTCTTTCATTGGTAACAGGCAATAACATTCACACACAATAATAATGGCCCTACGAGTTTCTAATTTTATCTGGTGTGTTCAGGCAGCTTTAAGCCCCTGAAAGGAACTGCCCAAGGAGCAGGAAGGTCTCCCAGACACGGCCATCTCCTGCTCATGGCCATGTCAGTACTGACCGCAGCATGATGCATCGCCCCAGGGCAGACAGGCCATGCAGACGTGACTGGGTGCTGATGTGCTCTGGCTGCTTACATTCTCGAATAATATCATGCATGTGGTGCAGAACAGCAAAGAGAAATAGTTACATTTGACATTTTGAGGAGCAGAGAGGAAGAACTGTGGTTTAGTATGCTCCCTCCCACCCTCCTGCAGCAAGCCCCCCACAGCCTGACACCAAGCCTGTTTTTCTTCAGTCTGGATATCAGCACAGGAGACATGAGTGCCGGAGTGTTTTGCAGTTTTGCCTAGCAATTATCTTCTATCTTTTGATAACATGCTGTACACTACTCCTTCACACTCAAGAGCTTTCCTGCCACAGGCATTCTGTGAAGCAGCTCTGGAAACTGCTGTCCACTTAGTTTGGGGTTTCCTATCCTTTTTAAAATATTTATATTGGAACAACCTATTGAAATACGCAACTGTGTACAGCAAATACCTTGAAACAGGAGACAGCCAATTCCACTGCCTTCATATAAATGTTTTCTTGCTGCAGCAGAGAGAAGCCAAAATACAGGGCTGGACTTTAAGTTCAGACTTAAACTACTGGAACATGGAAATGAGTTTTTCCTTTACCAGACAGAGCTTTATTTAGCCATTTGGGAAAAGATTCTCAAATCACACTGATGAGGCTAAGGAAGGTCACAGAAAATGAGAGAAAGCCTCTGTCCAAAAATCCTGTCCAAATTATTTCACTTTATAAAATTCTAAACATGGAAAAAATACAGGAAAGGATAATAATGGCAATCTTCATGAACAGCTGTGGGATACATTTAACTTGGAGAGGGATAACTCCAAAGAAGCTTTAAGCCATCCTTGCAATCCCCACGTTGGCTCCAGATGTGCCTATTCAATCACAACATATCTCACAGCATCCTGCTACAATTCAAACTAGTTATCTCTGACCCTGGGGCTGCTGGAGTTTACTACAAGCAGTGTGTGTTCCCTTGCAGCAACTCTATCTGTTGACAAGATGGAAAAAGAACGGAGAAGGAAGTTGAGGTCTTTTTAAAGCATTTAGTCCACTTTCAATTGCTTATAAAACTGTGATTCTTTATTGCATTTGGAAAGAACAATATATATTCATTTCACCTTAAGACTTCATTTCTTCTTCATCTTCCTTTGTACCCCTTGCATCACCACTGCAGTATTTCCTTATTAGCTATGCCTCACTTGCGATTTAGAAGTCCCTTTATTTGTTGGAATTGCATCTCTGTGATACAATTTTATCAATTTTTTTCTTGAGAAAAAATATTACTGCATCAGGTGTTTCAGATAAATGAGAAGTTTATACATTTTTCTTTTGGTGTCATTTCTCCAGCAAATCATTTCAAGGCACTCATTCAACACACTTGAGCCGAGTGATGCTAATACGTTTTCTTTGGCTGATATGCTTTTCTTAAGTTCTCTGATCAGAACTATAAAAGTAACTGAAATGTGGCTTGTTCATGTCGGATGTGCAACAGAATCATAGAATATTCTGAGCTGGAAGGGAATTGCCAAGTCCAACCCCTGGCTCCCCACAGGACAACTCAAATCACAGAATCATAGAGGCTGGAAAGAACCTCTGGAGATCATCTAGTCCAACTCTCCTGCTGAAGCAGGGTCCCTACAGTAGGTTGCACAGAAAAGTGTCCAGGCACATCTTGAATATCTCCAGAGAAGGAGAATCCACAACTCCCACCCTTTAGATATTTATACGCATTGACTAAATCACCTCTCAGTCTTCTCCTCCTAAACAGTCTCAGTGCACAGTGTCAAAAGCCTTGCAAAAATCAAGGTGCTCTGCTCTCCACTCACCTATCCAGCCAGACACGGCATCATAAAAGGCTACCAGAATGGTCTAGCAAGACTTCCCTTTGATGAATCCATGCTGACTACTCCTGATAATCTCCTTCTCTTCCAATTGCTTGGAGATGACATCCAGAACAAGTTGTTCCATCACCTATCCAGGAACAGAGGTGAGGCTGATTTTCCTGTAGTTTTCTGCCTTCTCCTTCTCGCTCATTTTGAAGGCTGGAGTACACTGTCTATCCTTCAGTCTTCAGACACCTCTCCCATTTTGAAGACGATAGAGAGCAACTTGGCAATCACTTCTATCAGCTCCCTCAGTACTCATGGGTGCATCCCATCAGTATCCATGGATTTCTGTGTGTTGAATTTGTCTAGATAATCTCTGATCAGATCCTTCTCATCAAATGGAAGTCTTCCTTTCCCCAGACTCTCTCCTGAGAATCTCCAGGTCTAGGGTTCCTGAGGGGCAGTCTTAGCAGTAAAGACTGAAGCAAAGAAGGCATTCAGTAACTCTGCCTTCTCAGTGTCCTCTGTTACCAGGAGACTTACCTCATTTAGCAGTGGACTCGCATTTTCAATAGTCTTCCTTTTACTATTGATATACTTAAAGAAGACAACAGTCCCATATTTCTCTGAAATGGTCAGACCCTTTTTCCACATTCCATAGATTTGTTCCTTCATTTGAGTTTTTCCATGAGCTCCTTGCTCATCAACGGAGGTCTCCTGCCACCTTTGCCTGATTTCTTACTCTTAGGGATCCACCACTCTTGAGCTTAGAATGTCAACCAACTTATTTGGGCCCACATACTTTCCAGTGCTCTTACACATTGCCCTGTTTCTTCCATGTAAGATCTTGAGCTTTTCTATCTCAGAGTCATTGCATCTAAGGCTGCCTACAGACTTCACATTTCCAACCAATTCTTCCTTTTTTGTAAGAACAAGTTCCAGAGGTACATCTCTCCTTATTGTCGCCTGCACCAAATGCATGAGATAGTAATCTTGCATGCACTGCAGGAATCTTCTGGACTCTGTGTGCTTGGCGGTGGTGCTTTTCCAGCAAATATCAGGGTGGTTGAAGTTCTCCATGAGAACCAGTGCCCACAGTTGTGATGCTACCTTCAGCTATCTGTGGAAGACCTCATCAGTTTCCTCTTCCTGATCAGGTAGCCTGTAATAAACACTCACAGTGGTGTCATCCACATTTGTATGTCCCTTAATTCTCACCCATAAGCTCTCCACTTTTTTCGTTACTTATCCCTCGACAGAGATCCATACATTCAAGTTGTTCTCTCACATAAGGAAAAACTCCACTGCCCTGCCTTGCTGATCTGTTTACATTTAGGCATCCACAACAGCATTTGAGCTGTCCCATCATGTCTCCATGACTGCAATGAAACCATGGCCCTGCAATTGCACACACACCACTAACTCTTTGTGTTTACTCCCCATGCTGTGTGCATTGATATACAAGCATTTCAGAGAAGAAAACTGAGCAGAGGACACAGGTTTCCCTAAAGGGATGTAAAACAATCCCCCATAGGTATACACACCCTTGAAGTGGCTGGCCTTCAGGTTCATGCAATATTGCAAGACATAATCTTGATGAGGCTACAGTACTGGAATATAATTGATACAAACAAAGCCTTGAGAGGTTTCTGGAAAAAAAGAGAAGAGCCGTCAGCACAGACATGTTAACATCACTTGAAGTAAGCAAGAATCAGAGCCAACAAGAAATGTATTAGTTAAAATAATAGAGAAGGTGAAAGCTCCAGGACAAGGGAAAGCTCTCTTTCCCTTAGAATTTGGAATCCGCCAGATTATAATACCGTTGGGCTAAATGCCATTAATACCATGTCAGACTAGACAAGAATCCTCCTCGGGCGCTGATTGGTAGTTGTAATAAAGGAATTCTTCAAAAGGTTAAATGAGGCAGCAAATACCCAAAGAAACAAGAAAAGGCTGGGGGACTATTTATAGCCACTTCGTATCTTTTAACTTTGCAAATCTGACATACCTGTCAGTCAGGTAAGGCAATTAGCCCATTATTTTTACTGTATAGGAGCAAAGCCAAAGAACATGTTGAAACTACTTAGATCAAGAGCTAACACCAAAATTTTGATCAAATCATTATACTTTGTACCAAGAATTTTGAGTTCCCAAAGGAAAAACTAATTATGAATCTGACCTTTTTTTTTTTTTAATTATTTTTTATTATTATTTTTTAAGATTAAAATCAACATATTTAAACAAGATAGCATCCAACACATCTGACTGGTGTGTCAGTTGCTCATCCTAATTGAAACAATCTTGTGTTCCACCATTTCAAGAATAAATTCTCAAAATGTTCATCTCCTAATTCAAATTTGCCCTATATTGGATGCTATGAATAAATAAATAATTATCCTTAGAAAGTAAGAAAGAAATTTTCACCCAGAAAAAGAGCAGAGCCACAACACAGCGACTAGAACATGAAAACAATTCTATGGCAACAATACTAGCAGAAATTGTAAATAACTAGGTTCAGCTGCCTAGACTTGTAGTTGAGGGCTGATAAGGTGCTAAACCCAGGCAGGCAGGGAGACCAGATCCAGAACTCAAGAGCTGCCATGATAGCAAGTCCTCAAAAAAGGCCGGAGATGCAAAGGCTGGTAGCCCAGGCTGCTCCTCCATCTCTAGGTCCACAATTAGACCAAGACTTACTAGATGACAAGAGTTCCCTTGGCTGGTTCAAGAATGGACCTGTATTATCTTGAGAGGATAATGAAAAAACATCATTTGGAAAGCAAAATTCAAGTCCACAGTCTTTCTTTACATTCATTCAACCTGTACTAATTTCATAATCCATAAGCAACCTAAGCAAACAGGAAAAAAAAGCTAGCACCTGATAAAACAAATATAAAACAACATCGAAAAGACAGAGATGGTTGTTTAAACTAAGGAAAGTGAATAGTTTGAACACGGTGATTGAGAGTGTTGCTCATGGCAGATTGCTGAAATGCTCTGTGTGTGCTTTTCTTCCATTTCTTTCCACAGAAAGAGAGGTACCTGAACATCACAATGCTGGGCACAGGTGATGCCTCCCTACATTCTTGGTTGCCAGAAGTTTGCTGCCATAAGCCTGCCCTGGGCCTTCCCGGCAGGAAGTTACAGTCTTGCAATGAAACAGGAATCAGATTTGTTTATTCAGTAACAAGCACTGAAATTTAAATCTCAAAATACCCCACGGAAAATGCGCGCAAAGACATAAAACTCCAAGTTCCTTTGCAAAATTTCATCTAGGAACACACACAAATAAGGCCCAAATTGTTCAAAGAATTCTCTACACTTAAAGGGCAAATGTTAACTGGAAAAGTAATTTCAACTCATTAAACTTCTAATGTAATTACTCAGTTCTTCCAAGGAAACAGAATCATTTCTAGAACTCACCATCTGCCATGTCTAAATGGGTGTGGAACAGGAATATATATATGCACATAGTCATATGAGACAATATAAAATACACATATATAGAAGCCAGATGCTTTAGTAAAATGCTAAAACAGAAAAAGCACAAACTAGCCAAAATTTCAACTGCCAGAGGACATTTTCCAGGATTCCTGTTCAGAAAACAAAATTACAGGATTACTTATCCACTTACAATACTTAGGCAGAAATTACTGTAAGCAGTAGTAGCAGTAAGAAATTACTGTAAGCAGGGGAAGCAGTAAACATGGAACCTGAATTATGGTCATTTTGCAGAGTATAACAACATTACATTACATTTCAGTGCTTTTGTTTCTATGACAAGGAAAATGCAGCAAACAGTCCAGAAATGGACATAGCATTGGACATAGCAACTGTCTGACACCCATCCAAGGAGGAGTGGTTAGAATAATTGAACTCTTCCATATGACGCAGGGAAACAGACCTAATGACCAATGAAGTGTTCCTTCCAAACATGTTTCTGAGATTATATGCTGATTAAATACCTGTTTGCATTGCCAGTTTATTTCCTCATTTTGCTATAAATTCATCAGACTTACATCTGAATCACATATTGACGTGCATTATTATATTAGGACCTATGAATAACTGCCCACCCCCTTCGTATGTCTGTCCCAGACATTCCTAATCCTCCCGCAACCCTTTTCCTCTTAAGTTTAAAATAATTTACTTTCTCCACATTCCAACTGTAACCCTTACATACAAACCTCCACCTGAGCCTTGCATGCAGAGAACAAGCATGAGCAGTAGGACATTCCTGTGGTGTATTCCCCACAGATCTACCAAAAAGATGCCCTTGATACACTGCAAAAAGACAAGATATGCAATTAGTTGACCAGAAAGGATCTGAACCAGGCTTCCCTGCTACCCATGACCTTCAAACTTCAAATAAACTTTCAAAGAGTAACTACCATTAGAGAAAAATCTGAGACAGAGCTTAGGGAAATGAGCAGCAGTGCACTCCCCTCATTGCTAGAAATGGTTTGTTTGGATTTTCTTTAAGACAGGCAAACAAAAGAGAGGTCTGAAATACCTCCTATGGGGTCTCAGGGGCACTGCTCAGAGGAGGATGGACCACGCAGCCGTTCCAGTGCTAATGCAAGACCCAAGCACTCTCATTCTTGGAGACATCGGCCAACTCAGGGTGAGCCAGGTATACAGCAGTAGGACAGCAATGTTTCAGTGCAGCCTCTTTAGACCAAGAACTGGGTTGCTCTGAAAGTAATGCCTCCAATTTATTTCCATGGAAACTGCAACAGATTCAAAGAGAACAATAACATTATTTTATAGAGCAAATTCTCAGCTGCAAAACACACTTTTTCAGCATAGTCACTTCCGTACATTTTCTGCAGCAGTGGAAATGAACCACTATGTCATACTCTTAAAGATCTGCACAGGCAGAAGCGATCCACTGTTGCTGTCACTGCTGCTGAAACTTACCATCCACCTCACACTGTGCTCACAGCCACTGTTTGGTCTCCATAAATGTTCACAGGTGTCAGTGAATGTCAGTGGGTGCCATTTTTTCTGCATGGAGGAACTCAGTTCCAGTGCTTCATATGCACTTCCATGACATTGTGGGGCAACATTATTGCATGGGAGGCATTGCTTTTGGAGTAACTCACATATAACATCCTGTATTCAAGCACCCATGTACTACCTGCAGCTAGCAGTCATCTTTACTATTGTCTACCCATTAAATCAATAGCTGCAGGAGGTTACCTGCATTGCCTGCATTCTCTTGAGAGGACACACAGTTCCTCTTTGCTCTTAAAATCTTGGCTAAACTGTGCATGGAGCATTGATTAATCCTTGGGAAGGAACACAAGCCCTCGCAAGTTGCCTGCACATGGCTGCTGAGAGCTACTGAGCAGCAGAGTGACTTACAGGTCAGCTTTCTCAATTTGGTTTTGGACTAACCTGCTCCATCAAAATATTTTAAATCTGTTACAAGTGTTCACAACAGATTTCTATAATCGCAGAATCACAGAATTGTAGGGGTTGGAAGGGACCTCTGGAGATCAAGTTCCATCCCCCTGCTAAAGCAGGTTCCCTACAGCGGGTTGCAAAGGACAGTGCCCAGGCAGGTCTTGAATATCTCCAGAGAAGGAGACTCCACAACCTCTCTGGGCAGCCTTTTCCATTGCTCTGTCACTCTGTCAGTGGAGCAACTCCTCCTCATGTTAATATGAAACTTCCTGTGTTCCAGTTTCTGTCCATTACCTCTCATTCTGTCTCTGCACAACACTGAAAAGAGCCTGGCCCCAACCACTTGATTCCCACCCTTTAGATATTTATACATAGTGATGAGATTTCTCTCAGACTCCTCTTCTCCAGGCTGAACAGTCCCAGGTCTCTGAGTCTTTCCTCGTATGGGAGATTCTCCACATCCCTAACTTGTCTTTGTGGCACCTTGCTGGACTCTCTGTAGGAGATCCCTGTCTTTTTAGAATCCTTCTCACCTGGTTGATGGAAAACAGTGGCACTCCCAAATTAGTGATACCACACAACTCATGTAAAAAGGAAAAAGTAATAAAAAATAAATGCAATAAAAGACACACATCACTGCATTGGAAATCTGTACGTGCCAGTTCCCTACATGAATTCGGTAGCAGAACTCCATCTCAATCAGAATTGCCATTCATCCAATTTCAGCAAGCAATGGCTACAACTATAGTGACTATGAGAAATAGATCTCCCAATACCTGGCAACAAATCTATACAGAGATTGTCGGTGCACTGCTGAAAAATTCCACACTCACTCTTTACTCATTGTTCTGGGCAAGCAGCAGAAACTAATGTCAGAGGAGAACATTTCTGTGCCTTAAGTAAGAGTGCTCCCTTCTGGTTACAGGTCTGAAGGAAGATCTAAAGCACAGTAATTTCTTTTGCTAAGATGTAAATTCAGAAAATTATGCACTATCATCTTAAACACTTAATTTAAAACAAACAGACAGCTAGGATACACACAGATGCAAGCAGAGTATTTCAACATATCAGAGCCTCTCACTTCACACTCAAAACATGTAGAAACATGTAGGTAAAAACACTATTCGTAGAGGAAGAAAGAATACCAGAGAAGGGGCATAAGCACTTCAGCTGAAGATTCCCATTAATACATTTTCAAAAGCAATGGCTGCGCCATATCTCTGCAAACTTTTTATTAATAAGCAGCATTCATATAATCTTCACAATAAAATGAATACTAAATATTATCCAATTCTGGTAATTGTTTTGATTTTGTAGAAAAATAGTTATTCTTCAACAAGCAATTGAGCCAATTAGAGAATATGGTGAATAACAGCAGTGGTTTCTTTGCTCGAGACGCTGGAACTCAGTTTTTCAGCCAACCATACAGCTCAAAATGATTTCCAGCTGTCACACCTGATAGGCAAAGGAATGCTTATTTTGGTTAACAAAGTTTCCGTTTATGTTTGGTAAGATTTTTATCCAGTCAGCAAACGCATTTCACATTTTTCTTTGACAAGCATGATTACAAACTGCAATGTGCACAGCCTGGGGGCAGTTTGACACACTTGAAAAAACAAGCAAACATGGGGCAACCAATGCCATTCTTACCTCATTTACCATGCAAAACCATATAGAAACAAACCAAAACTAATCATTTTTAACATGCTTAGGTAACACTGACTAGGGTTCATTTTAATAACATTTGAGAAGACAGTCCTTACAAAATACTGCTTTCAAAAGATACAAAATACGTTTGTTCATTCTTTTCAGAGTGACTTTTATTCTTTCTTGAGCCATAATTACTCTGCAGGCTTCATTTCTGAAAGTATCCTCCATAATCAAAGGCAAGTGGTTCATATGTAATTACTTTCATGTAATATCACAGACAAACCACGGTACGCGGGTCTCACGATGAAGTGGGAAAGTTTCATCCTACAGGTATGTTGCTGCCAACATTCCTCATGTCCACTCAGATGACTGCATGAAATAAATTTAACACTGTAACTACAGATATGATAGGTTCTCCCTATTTTAAGATAGATCTGCAAATATTTTATGATATTTTTTAAATACCATATTTCAACCTTTAAAATGTTAGATAGCAAAACTTAAAATGTATTAACATTTGCTTTCTCAGCCATACCTTCCAAGCTTAGAAAGACAGTGGTACGTTATTAATCCTGATCAATCAGTAGAAGCAGATAGGAAGGCAAATTGCATGTGACGTGACGTGCTTCAGACACACTATCCTCTTCCTTTTCAAAGGCAAACACTGACCTCTATGGGTCAGTATTGCACATGTAATGGTGCAAAATAGATTATTGCCTTCGTGTTCAAACCACTTCAAACCTCAGCCCAGACCAGCTCAGGTTGGAAGAGACTTCAGTAGATCAGGAGACCCAGCCTCACACACTGTGGGTGGCACCGAGCATGGATGGGACCCAAAAAATTTCTCCGCTGTGCATCAACATCTGAGAAGGCAGGGACACAATGGCGATGCAGCCCTTGCTGTAGGGCAACAAGGAAGACACACCTTAAGGAACCAGGAAAGAGGAGTGCTGCAGGATGGCCACCTGAGATGAGGACGGCCTGCTCCTTATCGCTCTCCAAATAGGGTGTTACCTGTGCGTATGTGGCTCTGCCTGACAAAGGGACTGCACTGGGTGACCAACATGCAAAATAGAACACAAATGCAAAAATATGAACTGATAGCTGGCCAGTAAGAAGATGGAAGTCTCACTCCAGTGATTTGAGAGCTATCCCGAGAGAACCTGCCTTGCTCTGTTGCAGAGGGCCGTTCTGAAAGTTTTTGTGAAGAACCTGAATGCAGGATAAAATTTTCAGGCTTGCTGTGCTTGGAGCTGCAAAAGGATAACATTGCAGCTTTGTGATGAACCAGACACAAGAAACTCACTGCTCTTCTTCCTGCTCCTCATTTTAATTTTCATCAAGTTAATGACAAGGATGCAAATAAGCAGAGTTTTCCTAATTGGTTTAGTATTGGTTTCCATGCCAAGACTTAATCCACCCTTTTGCAACAAAGGTCTATTGAATGATAGACATGATAAACAAGAATAATTTTGTAAATCTTCCTGCAAGTACTCATAATTGAGTACAAAACTATCACAAAATAACGCTAGTAATCAATTTAATAGGTTTCTTTGTGAAATCATGGCACATGCTGTACTTGTTGCTAGCAGAGAAAACACAGTTTTACATTAAAAACCTTAAGAGCATCTTCTAGCCTAATGCTGTAGAAGTGATATCTCATCAAAAAATAAAAATAAAAAGAAAACTTGAAAAAAAATGTTAAGAAAATTATCAGCTGTAGATTAAACCACTTCAAAATGGCCTTTCTAGACTTCCTTATGCTTTTTGTCCATGCTAATTTAAAAGGCTCTCTCCATATGGCATACCAGGAACATACATATTTGTGATTTGTAGAAAGGAAAATCTAAAGGAGGTGATGGAGTTATGGCTGAGGTTGTCATATCCAGGCTTTTTCCTAAAATAATGCTGTCTCACAGACAGAAATGAATGCTAACAGTTTCATGTTGTAAAAAAACAGATGAAATTGATAAAAGCACATGTTCAAAGATTTAAAAATAATTACACTGATTATCATACTCAAATTAGGTAATACTCAAACATAATGCAACTCTGTATTGAAAGAGAAGACCTGGAAGTTGATGAATTTACAGTTAGAAATCCCCTGCTTGCCCTCTTTCCCATAAATAAGTCCTCCTCCATTTGCGCCTTGGAAAAGCCCCACCAACTACTTCTTCATTAAAATGAATTCTGCCTACCTGCTGCTGGCTGAAAACAGTAATATTATACATAAGTGTGAACTACTCTTTATCATCTTGCTTTTGCCCTTTGGAACACTGGTAGTGAACTTTCCAATTTAATGGGATCTTCCATTAAAAATTAACAACTATCTCATAAAAAAACATTTAAATATCATGCAAGGAAGTGAAAAACTGAAGTACTTGAAATCTCTGAAAGCTAAAGTGTATCCGGTAGGAAACAGCCTGGGGCTTTTAGCAAATAGAAACCTAATCAAGCAAGAAAGAAAAATAAATGAAGAGAGAAAGAAAAAATGTGTACAAATGCGAATGTGTGAGCTTTGAGTCTGCTAAGATAAATAAGGCAAACGTGCTGAAAAGTAATACAGATTTTTTGGGCCTCTTGGTCTCCAAGTTTCTACACCTGTAGGCCTCCCTTTGGCAGTTAAAGCCCCAAGGTCTCTTATCCAGCCACCTGGCCTCCCTCTTGGTCTCTTGGCCCTTAAGTTTCTACACCTCAAGGTCAGATTCTATTCCTTTAGTCCTCTGGGCTTCTAGGTCTTTCTCCAGGCCACAGAGCATCTAGGCACCCCAAATGCCCAAAATACAGCCATGACCTCAACTTCCTGCATTTAAATTTGAAGATGTAAGGAAAATCTACAGTAATGCTTTGCTTCGTCTTTTCATGCAGAAATCTAGGTGGAAAATTTTTGCAGATCCCCAACACATTTCTTTTGTTATTTTTAAGGATGAACCAATCAGAGTCTATTGACACAGTGAAAACTAATTTTTGTTATCCTTCTCTATAGTCTGATTACTAAGAAAACAGCAACACTGTTTTTCAAGTTTGCTCCTGTTCCTTATACAGTTATACTGTTTCTACTTCATTAACTAACAACAGAGCAGCTGAGGCTGGAGTCTGCAGATCAGCCAGCCCAGCCTCCTCTCAAGCAGATGCCAGGGTCCCTGCTGGGATTTGAATATCTTCAGGGGTGAGGGCTCCATATTCTCACCAGGCAACCTATCCCCGTTCAACCACCCCCCATATATATATAAATATGAATGTATATATGCATATACACATTCAAAGGCAATTTCCTGCATTTCAGCTACCACCCATTACCTCTTTTCCTTTCACTGGACACCGTGGATAGGTCTGGCTCCACCTTTCCACCCTTTCATCACGTATTTGTAACACTGATAAAAGAAGACAGAAGAGCCTTCTCTTCTGCAGGCTGAGCCCACACACCCCCTCCTCTTCTCACACAACTGATGCTACAGTTCCTTTCTGTCCATTTACTGGCTTCACTCCAACAAGCCTGCATCCCTCCTGTAATGGGGAATCTGGACACAGCACCCACACATGCCTCACTAGTGACAGTGACAGTGGCCTTGCAGTGACATCAGCCAGCTTCTGCAGCATTTGAGGGTGCATGCTATCAGGTCTCATGGGCTTATATCCAGTTCTTGTTCCCTAGTTTGGTCCTCCTTCACTGCAAGGAGGACTCATCCCTGAATCAGAATTTCTGGGCTTGAGGACTGTGATTCTGGCCTGCCTTGTAACCCTAAAGCTGCACAGAGCACAAAGTTAGCAGCCCCAGATAACGTGCTTTATGTGGAGAGACAGCTCAAAGGCAAGGACTGCAGAGCACAGTAACACTTGTGCATGATGCTCTAATCCTCATTCTTTCAAAAGTAGTTCACAGGGTTTCTTTGAACTTAAAAGGAATTATTACAGTAAGATTTCAAATAGAGTAACATATGAATATACTTACCACTGACTGAGCAGAGCTTGGTAGGCAATCACCTGCTAAGGTGTCTGGGTGCTACAGTTCTGCTCTACTGCACAGAGAAAACAAGACATGAGTTGAAGGGAAGAAGAAGGACTCAGTCAAGGTACCACAACATACACACCTTGGCACTGCTGGGGCCATCACTTGTCTTTATTTCCACAGGACAATGCTCCTTAAACTTGTCTGAGCAACATGGTGGGTGACTGCTGGACTTTTCTGGCTGCAGGGCATCCAAATGCATGTGAGCCACTGTAGCAGAGGTTTAATTACAAGTTTTCCATTGAAAACTGCTGCAAATTTAACTGTTTCTTACTGTCACATAGACATTATATTCATAATTATTCACAGAGTAAAATTCTGCTTCCTTCCTTTTACATTCTGAAAGTATGTTTTTTTTTACATTCACAAGAAGATAGGTGTAATTTCAGTATTGGCACAATCCTTTTTATAAACAGGAGTCCTATCACAACTCAAATGTTTAAAAGGCAAGTAGAGATATAGAATAGTAGCTTTCCTATATACAGAAATGGTTCTCACACTGTGTTTTACAATTCATTTATATATCTTGATAATTTTAATACACCTTACTCTGTAATTCCAAGGTGCCCATTTGTATCTCTGCTTAGGCCCAGTTGTTTTTCTCCCTTCTCAATTATATCTACGCACTAAATCCTTTAAATCTCTATCTAGCCTGCAACTTCATTGGCTCAAACTAATGAACAGAATTTTTTAATTCCCTTATGATAATCCTATTACTCGTCTGAAGCTATTTCTGCAAGGGTCATCATTATACAGAGACGTAAATCTGAGACCAGGTCTATCCATGTTCAGTTGTAATCCAGCTCCCCTCCTGGAAACCATCAAGGGCATTTGTCAGCGCTTGAAAAAAGAAGAGTTGAGTGACTGAACCTCTCAGGTAGAGTGATCTGTATGCTGATTGCCTTTCAATCTTTATTTTAGTAAAGGAATAAAAGATGATTTTTAAAAGTTTGACACAGCTGCAAAAAGATTATTAGTAGTGTATTAAACATTCTAGTAGATAAACTTCACCGATGCAGTCTGGCAGAAGAACTTCACCTTTGGCATCAGACTGAAATGTAACCGTTCATGCCTTAAATAAATGCAGGTTTTACTCTAGTAAAAGGTGAATCACTCCAGATGGGAGTAATTTTGGCGAAGAGGAAGTATGTTGTAAATCTGACTCCTGAGTTGCTGCCTGTGCCCAGACTATCGGAACAGACATCTATGTCTAATTTAAGGCAGCTTTTATATTCCTTCCATGGAATTGTACCTCCGTTATTTGATTTTGTCATTGATTTCATTGAAACTGAAGTGCTTTTTGTAACTTTCCTTGAGATACTAATCCATATAAAAGAACGTGCAATAGAAATATAAGCATTTCTACTGCCTTTTCTTGGATTGCATTCTGCACACTGTGAATGTGTGAAAGATGAGTTCAATTGCTGGAGATAATTCACACAATATTTTTATGTCAGAGAGACTGAATTCCTTATTTTCATAGCCTCCAAAAAACTCTAAATTCCAACTTTAGAATAAGTCATTCTTACTCAAGTACCTAATTTCAGGCTTGGAACTGTTTTTTTGCAAAAGAGTGTTTTGTTAAATATTGATATTGGTGTAAAAATAATAAATGAAACATAGTGGATTAGAATGTAGCTGGTACAACATCATTAATTTAAGGCAGGTTGCAACTATGTAACTAAAATTATAAGTAACGTATTATATGAAATCATGCCCCTTTTGAAGCTGCTGAACATACTCTCTTCAAGGCCACTGCCACTGACCTCAACAGAAAGCACATTAAGTTCACAGCTTAAAGGAGATGCAGAGAAGGTTTTACTTAGAAATCAGTGTTTTGCCGTTTTTAAAGGCATATCTTTGTTGTTTGTACTCAAAACTTGAATTTGGTAGTGAACTTAACAGGCACAAACATTTTTCATGTGTGTCAATCCTTAGAAAATAGCTATGGCATAAGCAAACATAGAAAAGTTAGTACATATACCAGTTTGGTATGCCTTCGTTTTTTGATACTCCAAGCTGAGTTCACCAAAAGATAAGCAGTCGTGAAATGTATGGTTCTAAGTGGTTTGTTTCCAGTCAGCTTACAGAAGTAACATGCTATGACCTTCACAAGCAATGGCTTTTAAAGCTTTGTGCAAGTATTTGAACATTTTTTGATGGTAGGGAACAGTTTAAACAGCCATTCTTCTGCAGCTGCTATCACATAGATCATTAGACATGAATACTTCATCCTATTTCAAAATGGGATTTTAACCTGATCTCTGTTATAAATATTAGTGCCTAATCCTATGAATTCCAATTACAGAACAGTTCAAATCATGGGAAGATGAATAAGGGAATGAGAAATCATAATAAAAATAATAAAACTTGAGAACAAGTTACACAGCCAAAGATGGTTGGTCTACATGCAACAACTGGATTCCGGTAAAAAAGGAAACTCATTACTGGCACCAATATATCTTGACACCACCACAAGACTTAGTGCTGTCAAAAAATATTTATTCCTAATTTACGGAGGCTAAGAAGCCAACAGGTACCTCACATCTTCAAAATTCTTATGATGCCAATTGTTCTTATACTTATCTCATCTGTATTTCTTTCTCCCACGCAAATTACAAAGTTAAAGGACATTCCTGACCCCTTCCATCCATTTTTTTTTTTTTAATAAGTTTTTAAAAAAGAAAAGAGAAGATGGGTTCAGAAAAAAAAAAAAATACCTGATTGATACAATCAGAACTCACAGCAGCAGGCAGATAACTTTCAATAAATGTTGTACCAGTTACCAGACCGGACTACAGAGAATAGTCAGCTCTGTTGTGCAACCAACTGCAGATATATGAGGCTGTAATTCTCACCATATGCAAAAGCTCTGCAAATGAAGAATACTTTTTTAGTGCAGAAGATTGAAATTACAAAAAAACTTCATTGGCCTTAAATTTTCATTTTTAGACCTACTGTCTTCTTAGACCATTTGCAGATAGTCAGTACTATAAAACCAGAATACCAAACTCTTATTCCACTAGTCACGTATGGGTGCAAAACTCTCCAGAGACTGTATAGCTGTGTGGTTAGACATTTGTGAGCAAAGAAAGGAAAGAAAAATCAAATTGCCTCCACACAATTTGCTCTGTTTAATGTGGTGACAGGATCTAGAGAACTCAGCTGCAGAATGCAAACCAGCTTTCAGTACTAAGCTATGTGAAGCTACATAATAGGCTCCACTTTAAGGTACACAGGTAATAATATCAGTTGGACTAAATTATAACTTTGCAACTTTCTTGAATGAGCAGAAGGATTTAGTCTGAGTCCCCAGCACAGTGAAATGATTCTCACAGAATTAAATGCAAGCTGGAAAAGCTACAAATCAACATGAAGTATTTCATTATTTTGAATCAAGCATATGCCACAGTTTTTGCCTTTAAGTTATAATGCTCAACACCTACTGAGTTCAAGTGCAAGAGGAATTTTTACAATCAGTATTTCAGTACAGAGCAATTCTCATTCTGCTGTTAGGAAGGAAAGAAGATTTCCAAGAACTACGAGTAGAACATAAAATGAATGAGAAAAATGGGATCTACCCAATACCATGTGGGAACAGTGCTGGGAAAGATTAAGGGAACAGCACACTGGTAAAAGAGCAAGAACTCAAACAAAAAATAATCCTTTCAAAACTACTTCAAGTGAAAGACTTTGTGAATTTATGTCAACTACTGTATTAAGAAATGTTTCAATTTTTCATTGGTAGTTTGAGTTCAAACAGGCATGCTTCAAACAAGATGAGGGTAACAAGTATGGAAAGTATGATAAACCTAAAAAAATTAACTCTATATATTTGACTGCCATAACAACAAACTCTATCCGATGACCTAGAATCCCTTCCATTGTAACTGTTACAGATAATAGAAGAGAAAGAAGAACACAAGAAATTGCACTGAACAAAAACCAAATAGTTTTTCTCACTGTAATCAGCCAAAAGAAGAAAAAGAAACTTTGTGCCAAGTGTGATTACTGTAGAGACCTAAGCTGGCTTTTAATGAGCTGGGTTTATCTCAGATATTCCCACCAAAGTACCAACCGCATGACAAACCTCCTTATGGTCAAAGTCCTGTAAAAATTATTTTTATACTATTGCTCTTGTTATTCAAGCTAGTCACCTGAGTAAGGCTCTACAAGCAGTAAGAGCACCAGCAACTTCAACCATGTAACCATGTAACCGAGTAACCTCAACCACGGTGGGTGGAAGACTCAGGTCTTCTTGTTTCAATCTCACACAAAACTTGCGTAAAACCATCTAAACATGTCTTAAAAGACAAAAAAGCCCCAACACAGTATCTTTGTTTTGAACATGTTAAAGTAATGAATTAAAATGACATCTTGAAATTAAGTTTGTTTTATAATTGCATACTCTTGCCATTTCACTGGTATAACAATAATTCATAATGACATCATAGTTAAAACATTCTTAAATTATCCCATTTATGCAATGCCTTAAGGACAGTTGTTTTGCAAGGAACTAAATATTTTATCTCAATTTGAGATGAAAGCATACCATACTAACAGCTTGCTGTTTTTACAAAAGGATCAAATAAAATAATTCCTCTGCAGAGACCTACCCTTCATAATTACTGAAATCCTTTTTAAATAGCTAGCAGTACTCAAAAATATCACAGATTATCATTTCTTCTTATAGCAGGATGCTGTCCATGTTTAAACCAGTAAAGATAATAGTTATTTCTTTTCACTGAGATCCCCTAAGGAATGCCTTTGAAATTTTTAAATAAAGCAGAGCATTTGCAAAGGAAGAAAGAAAGAAATCATCAGATAAAACCTTGCACTGAAATCATGCAATAATGAAATGCCTTCATTGGCAATTTTAAATCCACACGTATCAATGCTAAGTTTTATGATGTTGCCTTTTGAACTCTCATGATATGCAAAACTGGTCCTGGGGGAACTTTATTTCTTTCTTGAAAATCCAAGAAAGCAGCATCTCACTACTGCTAATCTTCACTCACGTGTATGCTGGATGCTGTCTCCGTTTTGTTACAGTTTTGTCAGTTTTGGTCACAGATAAAACACGTTTTTGGTCACGGATAAGATATACTTATAGCCTAGCTAAAAATAAGCTCGTTAAAGCTTCAGCCAAACAGGATGAAGTAAACCATCAGAAAGAGTTCATAGTATCACAGAATCAAAAAAGACTGCTAAGATCATCTAGTCCAACCATCAGCCCATCACCATCACGCCCAGTAAACCACATCTCTAAGTGCCACATCTCCACGTTTCTGAGAGTACATTTTTCCTAATATCTAACCTGTCTCTTCCCTGGGGCAACTAAAAGTCTATTGCCCTACTTCTTGTCCTACCACTAGTTATCTGGGAAAAGAGACCAACCCCCACCTTGCTACAGCAGCCCTTCCAGTAGCTGTAAGAGAGCAATAATGTCTTTCCTGAGCTTTCTCTTCTCTGGATTAAACACTCCCAGTTCCCTCTGCCACTCCTCACCCTTCAGCAGCTTCATTGCCTTTCTTTGGACATGTTCTAGGGCACCAATGTCTTACTTGCAGTGAGGGCCCAAAACTGAACACAGTACTTGACCAGCGCTAAGTACAGAGAGCCATCTCCCTGCTCCTGCTAAAGTCGGGCTCTATCAAATGAGGAAACATGCCAGCCATTTATCCTACTTCTAAATATAGTGCCATTAGACCTTAGGGATTTCCTCAGTGCCCTTGCTACAGCCATGTCCAGGCACTATTTGGTGTCCAGTATGTTCACTCCTCACAATGAAAGCAAAATTTTGCTACCAATATCCATGCCTGTATCCTGTCAAGAATAGTGTGGCGTTCAGTCTACTAAAACTGGCTTCTGTCCAAAAGGGTTTCAGGCCACTGAGCTGAAATGTCTTCGAGATATCAGTAATTTTAGAACTTCATAATGTAATAAGCCTTTGTTCAGTATGAACACTGATAAGCCACATAAGACTCTCCTACAATACATAAAATACAGATATTACTTGATGTCACACAGACCTATCTAGTGTTTACTGACTGTTAATTAGTTGAATTATCATTTGATTTTCTTCAGAAATCATGTTGTAACATCAATAAATGAGGCTCTTACCAACTGATTCATAGTTGAACTGTTCTATCAGGAGAGTTAATGCTGTAGCAATCATTTATCAAGTAAATCCAATTAACTGATGTCATGATCATCAGTAATAGCATAAGGTTGTTTTTTTTTATTTATGGTACTCTAGGCTTTCGTATCTGAGCTTAATTTTCCCAAAGGGAGAGCAATCTAGCATGCATTTACATCTTCAACACTGGTGAACAGGCAGAAAATCTTCAAATGCTGAAACCATGCCAAAAAGCTTTTAAACACCAAATCCTCTAGAAAATCAGATTTTATTACTCCTAGAGCTCACAGAATTCTTCTCCCTTCAGGCATACAGCAAGCTGCATATGTCTGTTACTCTATCCACCTCCAGTGCCTGCTGCTGCTGTTAATTTGAAGTCTACAGTCAAATGCCTGCAGCAGCTCACGTTTAACCAAGTGTTACATTCTGCTGCATAATCACATCTGGAGGGAGAAGAAAAAACATCATGAGAACATTGAGAACATTTATCTATCTCTTGATCTCATATTTTTGATTACCTGACCAGCTGCTGCTATGAGAAGAGATGAGGACTTGGCTGATTTTATCACAGCAGCAATGAAGCAGAACTACTGTGACACTTTGCAGAAAGTACCTAAATTCTGCAGCGGATTTCTGAAGCAGCTGCACCAAATCTATGCATAGCGGTGTTGCAAAAGTTGGGGATGTAGGACCAGATGCCAGCCTCTGGGTTTTATGACAAGGAACACGGTGTTAAGATATTTGCAATTCACTTCCTATTTTACTCACCAGAAATTCATGCTGTTGAGTACTCTGTCAGCTTGTTCATGAAATCAGAACTGAAAAAAACAAAGAAATTCAGATATCTTCGCCCATACCTAGGACAGCAATACTGTTACTTCTGTTTTGAATAAGCATTGCTTCTTTTCACATCACGTAGGTGACACATAATACTGAATTTTCTCCAAATTTTGTCACTGGGAGTGACAATGTAAATTGGCATTTGAATACTGTATTAGTACACATATTGGGCTGGTGTGCATAAAAGAAGAGATTGAAATGAATCACAGGAATGCATAGTAAGATTTTTTCCAGAGAAGATAATTACGTTCCCTTCATTTTCCTTTTCCCCCTTCTCTCATTCTCCCTTGCTCTGCCTTAGGCAAATAAGCTTCCTGATATCTCATGTTTCTTGTTGCAACAAGCCATTTTCTGTTGATGCTGATGCATCTCAACACAAGAAAGGAGAATACGTTAGAAACTTTCCAGAAAAAATAAAATACCACTGCAATGAAATTAGCGTATTGAAAGTTGATATAACTACAGTCTGACCACGGCAAAGGCTAAAATATTCAGAATTAACTTAACAATAGGGCTGTGGCATACGAATGTCTTAGGAGCATCTAGATCTACACAGAAAATTTAGCCCAGAAGTTTTGCCATACATAACTAATTTCAAGTCCCAGGAAAATAATTCAATCTGCTGTTTATGCAAGCTCTGTTTTTGGGGTAGGATAGGAAAAGCGTGTCTTTTAAGTCATCAGTTTTCTCTCTAAATTGTGACACTTATTTACGTATTCAGAGAAAATCTGTGTAAATGCATTAGTTACTGTATGTAACTATACTCCCAGTATCCTTAGTCTTGGTCTGTAAAGAAAGCACAAACATAGAATTAATCTCCAGCAGGTTTATAAGCTACATGTAAGGTTGTTTACAATTTTGCTGGCAAAAGTTCACTGTTTATAAGTAAGAATCTATCATGGGAGCTGAAGAAAAATGAGAAATCACTGGAATGATACCAATGGTAAAATAAATAAATAAATAAATGAATAAAAAGCTGTACAGGAAAGGAATAAACTAGGTAATGTAAATCCTATTGAAATTACAGCTCTGCTGTGCTCCCTGTGGTCACATCATATTGTCTGCTTTGGCTCTCATCTTCTGGTTAAAGTAACATGAGGAATAAATTAATTATAAATTCCTTGTTTTATTTCATGTATCTGTAGTTGCCACAAGAGTGTCAGAATCATATAGTGGAGATAGTGTTATATCTGATAATGTGAGTGAAAAGGAAAAACAATTCAGCCCAATGCACTGTAAAGCTGCAGATGGTTGGAATGGGACTTGGGCATCCACCATTCAATTAAATGCCTTCTGAACAATTATAACTTTATTTGGTAAATATCCAAGTAAAAAACATACATCTAACTGACACAGCTTTATAGTTCATCAGAGGAAACTTTTTTTCCCCTTATTTAGGACATGCTGATCCCATTCAGGCATCCTTTTTGCCTTTACAACATACACCACTTCTACATGCATATCTTCTCAGATAAGATAAATGTGGAAATTAACCTCCAAACCAGGAAGCAAAGCTTATTACTTTGTGAAAGGAAAACATTCCACCTTTTAATGACTGAAGATGAAGCTATTATAATAGGGCAAGGACAGAAACAAAACAGTTCTGCCATTACAAGTTAGCCTGTCTGCTTGGGTCTGTCAGTCCTAAGGGAACACTTCCAAGGCAGCAATGAGCTTCTTGAGAGCACTGGTCCAAGATGGGTCCTTCATCAATATCCTCTCCTTAACAGAGCACATTCTTGTTTGGTCTGCAATGCCTTACCTTATGCTAGATAATCACCAAGAAACACACATCAATTTAATAAAACTGACAAGAAGTTAATAAATACTCTCTCTCAAGAGCGCTTGTCTGAAGTGTTACAAGTTGCTCTCTGTTCTTTCTCAGAGGGAATTCCAACTGGGGCAACTAAGTCCTGCTCCAGAGGAAGGTACTGCTGTTATCCAGCATCAGAACTGCAAGCTAACACAACATCTCAAATGATGGGAACGTGACAAACAAAAACTTCACATATCCCAGAGGATGGTCAGAGATAGCCAGGAATTAAGAAAATGTGAAATTCAAAGCAGATGTAAACAAATTCTGTTCAATTGCCTAATTCTATCAAATTCGACAATAAAGCTGCTCATTATGCTTACCCAGCCTTTATACCAAATCCGATTGCAAGGTCAATCCTGCCTTTTGCAGATAATAGTAACAAAGTATAGCTACAAAAAAAGCAAAAGCAAGAATGCATGCTGACATACTTTTACAATTACAAATATACATTAAAAAGAAACAACAAACAAACAAAAACAACCTTTAACCAAGTTAAGAAGAAAAATCATCAGAATTTTTTTTAAAGATAGTTTCTCAGCCAAACTTATTTTGCTGCTTTCTGCAGGCAACTTCTCACACATCCAGAGCTTTAACAGGCAATCACAATCAAACATTACCCCAAACAGTCAGTGGAGATTCACTCAAATTCACAAGTTTAGATTCCCCCAGCCCTCCCTGCAGGGGCTCCTTTCTCTTGACAGAAAAGAACAGTACGAGCCCCTTTGAAGTGCCCACTTCTGCTTCTAGACCTTCACAATTAACTTCTCAACCAATGTCAGTGTCTTGCCTTTTTCATAAAAACTGCTCCTTGGTCTGTCTGAATGCCTGTCTCCAATCACTGTAGAATCCTAGTTCAAACGCAAGAGATTTTAGATAAAACACAGGGATGAGATGCACTGCCAAACACTGAGCTTGAAAAACCCCCCTCAGCAGGGTACTGCTTTCAGTGTCATTCAGCAAAAAGCTCCAACAAATCTTTCAGGAATATGTTAATTCGAGCAGGAATACAGATGTTTTGAGTTCAGAATCTGAATATATACTTTAATATCAACTGAAACATCTGCCCTGACTTTTGCAGGACAACTCAGGTCAAGCACTGAGGTTAAACATGGATTGAAGCTTGTTACCTTAGATATCTACATTTCAAAACGTTGGCTGCTCTCTAAGTAAAATCCTGAATTTCAGGGCATTTACTGCTTAGCTTTTAGTTTTGGGGGAGGGAGGGTGGTCTTCTGTGGTTTTGGGTTTGTTTGTTGGGTGGGTTTTTTTTGTTGGTTTTTTTTTTTTGTGCATTTTTTTTTTTTTAATCTTGTTAATCTTAATTGAAATTTGATAATACTAAACTTAACTAATTTTCTTTCTGAAACAATAAACCAAGAGCAATTTTAAAATGCCTGCCTGCCGCCTCCCCTTACAGGACATAGAGAAATAGACTGATGTAAAAGAAGTTGAGCTAATTCTCCATTTCAGAGTGAAATCCAGAAATAAAAAGTTTAATTTTATAAAGACAATCAGAACTTACAGTTGCATAAGTGAATAATGAAAGCAAATGGCAAACTATAAAACATGATCCATAACATTTCAATTACTTTTCATATGCATAATTATAGGCCTAATTTAGAAGAATTCTTAAAAAAAAAAAAAAAGTAAAAAAAGTATACACATTTTTACCCTGTGATTTTAAACCTAAGTCAGTGCTGTGAAGCCAGGGCACATTGAGAATTTACGGAATTTTCTTACTGACCAAGCCTTAAAGATAATTGAAACATTGAACTGCACCTGTTTCAAATGTTTCCGTCTCACAGATAAAGAACAACGTAACTGCCCCAAAGCAGATAGAACAAATAATCCAATCACCCTCTCATCAGTCACAGTAATCTACAGTGAAGTTGACAGCTTTCTACGTCAAGCCCTCCTGGGTTTCTTTCTCTCATAAAACCTCTTCTTTAAGCTAATAAGGTCCACTCCAGCATTATGACTTTTTTTTTTTCTCTCTCAGACACAGTGATGTGTAACTCTATGTGATATACCACACCAGCTAAGCACTAAAGCGTTCACCCACCCATCTAAGTCTTTATCACAAGTCTCAGCAACACTGCACTGGTGCGAATAATCATGCAGGGTGACTAAAGTTCTGAAGGTTGGCTCTGAAAACAGAATTTACCCTCATAGATGGAAGGTATCACGCATCACTGAATATAAAGGGAGCTGTAGCTACTTCTTCAGGCACTTCTGGCTAGCAGCTATCTGCTTTAGTGCACACCACCAATGACCTGCGCCTAGTGATTAGAAGTGCTTAAGGCTTTCCGCTCCCTCTGCATTGTGCTCACAACTGGTCTGAAATTCTGACCTCAGACCTTGACGCTGCCTTTGCTTACGTAAAGATGTTAATGCCACTTGCAAATCTAACTGCATATATGACAGAGGATAGATTATTATTTTTTTTTATGAGAGACCAGCTGGTTCAACCTTGTGCTTTCAACCTCCCCCCTCCAAGTTTCTTATTAAGCATTCTATCTAACAGAAAGAACTACAACATACAGAACATGGAGCAAAATATGAACAATTTTTTGCAAAGGTAGTAACTGTATAGTAACTATAGTAGCAATAAGCGGATTACGTCCAGGGCTAAAGCACATGCATCCTAACTAACCAAATTGCGGAAGTATAACCTCAAACACACAGTGTGTATTCCATGCTGCAGATCACACCCTGCAGTGCATACAAAATGCACTTACTGTGAAAGCTTCAATGACATTGGTGAGCTGCATTAGTCTCTTAAGGAATCTGTCACTATTGCTAGCACAGAAAGGCTAGTCCCAAGTCCAGTCCCAACAGCAAGTACAGTTTCACATGTGGAAGGCTCTTGGTTCTGCTATACTGGAAAATTACCACTGCCTACATGATGGAGATGATGCAGTGTTCCAGTTACAGTCAGGATCTTTCCTAGAAACTGCCTGGGAGCAACATTTGAACACAGTCTAGAAGAGGAAGTTCAGATCTCACTATTGGATTGCACAGAATGTAATGAGACCAGAGTCCTTCAGATCTCACAATACAAGATTTTCACTTCTGTCTCTGTATTTCTACTATTTTGTCATGGACAAAGACCACAAAAAGATGAACACCTACAGGAAAATGCATATTGACATAAGAAACTGAAGTCACAAAATTCTATAGAGTTGCTATGGTACTACTGCCAGTCTATTTGAAATAGTGTGCAGACTACAGTTTTTAAGATATTATTCAGAATATATCATTTTGTTTCTTCTAAATTCAACTTGAGCATTTAAGTCTAGACCTACTTCTCTTGGCTTGCTTATCAGGTGCCCATTCGCCTGATAAGTTCACTTGGATACAGGGAAGTGCAGCTGAAGAATTTTTTCACGAGGCAAGAGCCTCACCTGACACCTGGGATGCACATGCTGGCTAACCAACCATCACACATAGCTCAAAATATAAACATGGAATTACATCTCACTGACAAATATCTTTTAGAGGACACCATTTACTTTTCATCCTTCCATTTCCACAAGTCCAGTAAATTTCACAGTTCATAGGCAATTTTATTTTTATATTATTTTTATGTATTACCTATGACCATCTTATGAACATGTTTTCACATATGTGGCTTTGATGCCCTTCACAGCAGCCTCCATCAAACACACGATACTGAAATTAACGGGCTATATTGTGACAATTCCTAGTTCTAATAGGTTCCAGTGACCTCGTAACCCAAAAATAAGAAATATACAAGTAGAGAAGCTCAGTAATTCTGTAGGCTTACAGGAGCAATCACTCAAAAAACAGTAATAGAAGTGAAATTGAGTTTACAGTCTTTATATCCCAAGTACAAAGCTACCCAGTATTACTATGATTGCCAGCTTCTGCTCAAAAGAGATCACACCTGTGTAATCACTGAAAAGCTTGGAGAATTACACTGTTGCAGAGCACTCTGGAGAGATGTGAACAGCAGCTTTGCCACTGTGCACAGGCACAACGCAGGAACTCCCCACTGATCATATAATTCTCACCTGCACAATTCCATGCAACTAACCACTGCCTTCCAGCTCTGCCATCCACTAGGTGGTAGGGTCAATTCAGGTTTATGAGGACTGTGTTAACACATGACCTTAAATTCCTGAAAAACAGCACAGTCAGTCAACTAATTGGGATTCACAGACAGCTGGGAAAGTGAACACAAATGTTCTGGTCCGTCCATGTGAATTTACACTGTTTGCTTTACTATCTCAGCATCCTGCTGCCCTCAATCTTAAAAATTTGTACAGGTAATGGCTGGGCATATTTCTAACCAGAGGCACTTGCAGAACGTGCTTTACAGCTGGCAGAACTCAGCTATCAGCATCCTCATATTTATCCAAATATTAGGAACCTATTTTTAACTTGGGAAATACAGCATGCTCAGACCCCTCAAGGACCTCTCCTCCCCCCCAAAAAAAATCCAACAAAACAGAACAAACCACCAACAACAAAGAACACATCTGAGTACTTCACTAAGACACAGGAGAATTCCCTACCCTCGTGATTGCTATTTTGGAAGGAAGAGTATGTATTACAGAAGATACAACTGATCCAACAATGCAGCTTCCCATGGATCTCCTTGCAGTTACATGTTCAAATGTCTGTGTCCTCGGGTGCCTAACTGGGAAACACCTGGCTTGGACAGCCTAATTCTTGCCACATCAAGCTAAAAACTATAAATATTTATAACTTCATTGAGAGGAAAGAAGAATAATTTGCATGACTTGCTCCAGGCTCATAGTCTGACTCAGTAGAAGGCTGTGAAGTAGAATTTTAGGAGTTCCCATCTCCCAGGCTTGTGGTCAGCTTACCAGCCTGCACATTGCTAGGATCATTGCCTCATGTCACTTCAATAGAGTGGTGAAATGCAACTTTGTGTTGCTATTATTCATCTAATCTTTTCAGCTTTATTAGGCACAACAGATCACTAATGTATGTTTTAAAGAGAGCTTTCATTTGTTAGGCAATCAGTTTCCACCATCAAACCCTCTCTTTCCTCATAGAAGAAAAAATCTCCTCAGCATCAGCACACAGCACAGCTTCCTGTAGATATCAGTGTAAGAGTTGAGATGGACTTCCAAGGCTTTGAGCTAGCATGTCCACAAAGCTGTATATTACTGACATAGGAAGGAGTTTCCGTTTTGCATGTGAGAAGGGATTAGCTTCATATTTCTATTCAAAATCAACTGAAAGTTGAGTACCGCGTTCAGTTTTGGGCACCTCAGTACAGAAAGGACATGGAAGTGCTGGAGCAGGTCCAAAGAAGGGCAACAAGGCTTGTGAAGGGCTTGGAGAATATGGCCTATGAGGAGAGACTGGAGGAACTGGGGCTGTTCAGTCTGGGGAGGAAGCTGAGGGGAGACCTTATTGCTCTCTTCCAATATCTGAAAGGTGCTTACAGCAGAGTGGGGCTGGTTGTCTTCTCACTGGTGACAGGTGACAGCACAAGGGAAAATGGCCTAAAGTTGCACCAGGGGAAGTTTAAGTTGGATATCAGGAAATGCTTCTTTACAGAAAGGGTTGTTAAGCACTGAAATAGGCTCCCCAGGGAGGTGGTTGAGTCACCATCCCTGGATGTGTTTAAAAGCCATTTTGATGTGGTGCTCAGGGACATGATTTAGCAGAGAGTTGATAGAGTTAGGGTAGGATGGTTAGGTTGTGGTTGGACTTGACAATCTTTAAGGTCTTTTCCAACCTGAGTGATTTTATGATTCCGTGGTTTTATGAAAGAAAATTGGGTCCAGTAACAGGATTTATGCACAAAGACCTACCTACAGATATACCTACATAAAGAATTTCTACTGGTTTCTTATATACTTTCATCCCAAAATAATTTTGATTGTTTTGATTAATCACCAGCAACATATGTGTGGAAAGACTTATACTCACATTTACTAATTAGAATTACTAATTAGAATTAATCCCAATGCACCTGAGAATCAGATCCCTCGTGTCTTGCTCAGCCACCATTCCACTTTGTCCTTTGGCGCTAATGGATAAAAAAAGAAGGTGTATATCCTCTTGTGCACACTGGAAACACACTGAAGCCATTCAGGTATGACTCATCAGCAGCTTTCAAATATGCCATTCTTGGCTGTGTGGCCAAGAATTTAGGATTTGCTTTAAGATTCTACCTTAACACATGAACAGTTGAAACTTAATAGACCTGGTCTAGACTAAACGGGAATACTCAAATTGTCTGCCTTAAGATTCCTGTGAACAGTGACATCTGTTCAGTGTTCAGTGACAAATTACAGTTTTCAACTACAAATGAAACCGTTTTTAACCTTCTGACACAGAAAATTGATCTGCTTGTGGAAGCTGGAAGACACTAAGAACATTAATTGTGATTATCAGGAAACAGCAAACACCACCTTGACCAGATGAGACCAAATGGTCTCTTCAAATCCTGCTGCTCTGTAATGCTCTGGCAGTACCCAAAACTCATCTTCTGAATTCTTCACACACAGAAACCTCTCTCTTCCCTTAAAGAGCAGTGGTTCTACTTCACTCCTCAAAAAAGGGTACAGCTTGGGCACTGCTGTATCACTGTATTCTATGGTTGGTGCCTTGCTCTTGGGTTTGTTCTATAGAACAGGTAGAAGAAAACAATTTATACAATAATTTCTGTTCCTTAAAAACTCAGATGAGCCAGTACAAGCAGTCTAACTCCAGGATATTCTGAAGTCCATTGCCAACAGGTACAAGTACTTAGCTGCATGCTCTGTATGAGAAATGAGCAGTTCAGGCAATCCTTAAAAATGAAGACATTGGTAGAATGGATAATTAATAGGTTTCCACTTTCAAGGGGAAGAGAGTCCCATTGCAGAAAAGTTTGCAAGCAAGTCTGTGCTATATACAGACTATGCTCTGAATATCCTATGATGACTATGAATCAGCAGCCTAGGCATTCTCAGTGTTTGTTCATAGATCTTTTAGAAGAGATTGACATATCATCCCAGTTGCTTTTTACAGCATAATAAACTCTACACCTATGTGTATTCTGGCCTTCACTGACACCTAAATGCTACAGGAAACTATACATCACGTGCCATCCTCCTGTAAACATATCCCTTTTCTATCCTGTTTTTGTTTTTTTGTGGGTTTTTTTTGTTTTTTTTTTTTGTTTTTTTAACCTGCAGCATCTTCTACTCCAGTCACCAACATGGAAGAAAATGCAAACACCAGTTTGGAAGAAGATTTCGAAGGACAAGCAACACACACAGGCAAGAAAACTGACTAGTTTTCTAAAAATAAGCAAAACCTCCTCTGATCACTAAGGAAGCCTAGAGTCCATCTACACTAACTGGGATGCTGAAGTCCTTGAACAGAAATGTAGGCTCCAAATCCATTGAGAATATATTTTGGATTAAGTGACAGCTCTCATGGGAAGGCAGGTAATACCAAACCAATTTCTGTGACAGTCATCCTCACATCTCAAACAAATGACAAATGCAGACACTTGAAAAAGCCTCCAACAGCAATTGCCCAATGCAGATCTTGTTGTTTTATTGTTTCAGTGACAAACAAACTGCCATTCTTCTTTTTTGGGGAAAAAAAAACAAGGTTACAAGGTTCCACAACAAAGGCTGAATTATTTTTTCCTTCTTTTGGAAGGAACATTCAGTGCTGAAATTGCATCTATAGATTCTTTCGGCAAACACAGCATAGCATTTAAAAGCTTTAAAGGCATTCTTGCTTGGAATCACAGCTCTTTTTAATCCAGCGCTCGATCACTAATCCTTTTCATTAGTACTGACACTGCACTCAATTCTACGGACAGGTATCACTGCATCCTATCTCCCTAACAGGTAACTATATATGCTTTAAGACAAGCATTCCTCTCTGTGCTCTGAAGGCTTCTTTTCTTGTGCTGTAATAACTCTTGTAGCTCTTGTAATAACTGTTTTTTAGGGTTCTTTCCCAAGAAGCCTTGCTGCTGTTGGCTAAGTTGGCATTTTTCAAAGAGTCAAATGTAGGGTACTATATCAACACTTAGGCTTCTAAATAATTTTTAAAATCAAGTCACTGTATACTTAAAGCGTTATCACCATGCCAAGACTTACAGGTTAATTCCTGTCTTGGAATCTTGTTTGCAAAAGATAGTTCATCTTTCCTTTCCATCTAGGGGGTGTACTGCTTTTAGCTGCCTTTCAAGATATCAAAATCTAATCCAAAACAGACTCTTAGCAACTGGCAACACTACTCTCTCTCATGAGTGGGAGAGCTTAACTAGCCGCTCCTGAATTTCCACAGAAGTAAACTTGATCTCTGAAAACATTCAAAAATTCCTTGGTTTTACTTTATGGTGCAAATTTAAGTGTTTTGTTTTGACAAAACAACATAGGAATTTTGAAATGAATGTCTTCTTTTCCCTTCTCCACTCCAAAATTTAACCAATTCAATTAACCAGTTCCAAAGAGCAAGATCTGCATTACCATGAGAGTTACTAGACCACTGCCTTACAGGTTACACTTCCAGTGGAATATACATGGACTTAAAAATAAATAAAATCTTGAGGGCTCCAGGATCTCACTTTTACAATGAATGCCAATTCCTTGTGCCTGGTATGCATTCAGACCCTGTCCATAAGGAAAGGCAAATGCACATTTATGAAGCACTGCCTTTGGCCAAGGTATCAGTTTTAAAAAATTTCCACAACCTCATCCTAGTTAACTATTCATGTAGATCACTAAAATATTTTTTATGATAATGATATAAACTAGATCACCTCTTCTGGAGGCTAATGAATACACTGATTGTAACGCTCTGATTCTCAGCCCTCCTGGAGAGTATTCTGAAGGGAAAAGGGGTGGACAAACTGCAGCATAGGTAGGCAAGCGAATAGAGGGCAAACTTGAGGAAGCTTTTTGTTGCCACCAGTTTCTCATCTAACAACTTCTCTCTTAGGGCCCAAAGGTGTGATCAATGACTGGAGAAAGTTTAAATTAGAAAGTGAAGATAAAGACTCCTTACCCTTGAGCAAGAAAGAAATTCTTAGACAAATGTCTTCACCACACAGGTCCTTCAGTAAAGATGATAAAGATACCAGAGAGAGATTCTGCCGTAAGGTAAGAGAAAACAAAACAAAACAAAAAACAAAAAACATTTTGATTCTATATAAAACACACAATGCCATAAACAAGAAAATCCTGAAATCATCAGCCTTAATTCCTCTGCAGCTTAGCAGAGGTCATATCAGACAAACAAATCAGAATTACTGACAGTAACTTTACTTTGTATTTATACTGTAAATATAATACGAAGCATCCTCTTGGCCATAGATCATACCACAGTCACAAAGTGGCATGCACATACATAGTGCCACTGAGGAATAAGACCATATTCAAAGAGAAAAGACTGACTTGCCAAGAGAACAGCAGCATTTGACCTAAAACACAGACCCAACCATTTATATAGCCCTCTCTCTCTCCAGAAGGTTTTAAGCTCTGTAAAATAAGCAGTACACTTCACAAAGTCACACGACTCTGAGAGCTTGACCCTTCTTTCTCCAATCCCTGCTTTAACATTCTATCTTTGGTTAGGGCAACTAAAAGTTTGTAATATGCTTAAAAGTCATGGGATGGGATCTTCATACCTATCTCTTCAGAAGCCATGAAAGAAACTGTAGGAAGTTGTTCTTCTAGCTAAGCTTTCTATGCAGTGTTCTTTAGATAGCGACTTCTTATCTTTCTGTTTGGCTATCAATAAACAACCACGTACTCATACAGTATTCTCTCAATATTCACAGATGAGTATGCAGGAGTATGAATTAATAAATGATGAGAAAGAAGATGAAAGTTGCCTACAAAAATACCGTAAGCGCTGCATGCAAGATATGCACCAAAGGCTGAGTTTTGGGCCTAAATATGGCTATCTGTGCGAGCTGCAAAATGGAGAACAGTTCCTGGAAGCCATTGAAAAAGAACGTAAAACTACCACTGTCATTGTTCACATTTATGAAGACGGAGTCAAGGGCTGTGATGCTCTGAATAGCAGCTTAACCTGCCTTGCTGCCGAGTACACTACTGTGAAGTTCTGCAAGATCAAAGCCTCTAATACTGGGGCTGGAGATCGCTTCTCAGACGAAGTGCTTCCCACTCTGCTCATCTATAAGGGTGGAGAGCTTCTGAGCAATTTCATCAGCGTTTCTGAACAATTCAATGAGGAATTCTTTGCTGTGGATGTGGAATCTTTCCTAAACGAGTATGGGTTGCTACCTGAAAGGGAGCTTCCAGCACTGGGAAATGTCAACACGGATGAGCAAGATGTTGAATAGAAAGCCATAGTCCTCGCTGCCTTCCCTTTCTCTCCTGCACATTATATATCAATCTCAGTAATACCCACCTCATTTAGAGAAGGCTGTCATTGCTTCCTAAAGAATTTCTGAGATATGCATATTTAAATACTCCTTAACTATTAGCGTGTGAATTTTTAAGCAAAGCACATACAACAGCCAGCAATGTACATAGTTATTTCTACACCAGGCACAAGTAACAGGAAGAACAAGAGATGATACTGGTGATCTGCAAGAAACTAGGCAAGCACAAAATTAAAAATCAAGGGCCTGAGCAGGTCTCTGCTGTGGACAAGAATGACTTCACATCAATAGGAACAGAACTGATCTGTGCCTGTGCATACAAGAAAAGCCATCTCCATCATCAGAAATTATGGAGAGTCCTGGCTCCACAGATTCACTTTCCCAACTACTTTCAGTAGGAACAAGACTTCGTCAATTCATTTAGTTTTAAGGGCAAACAAATAGCCTGAAGCCCTTGCAATCTTAAATGGCTTAGGTACCTAGGACACTGCTCCATTTTCCGCATTTAAGTCTCAGTAATTGTGAAAATACAACAGCTAACACAAACAACCTACCAGCTAATTTTAGTTCATCATTTCTCCGTGTTTTGAACTGTATTATTTAAAATATTTGCAAGCTACTGAAAAAGTATATTGTGCTTATGTAATAACTCTGAATAAAGCTTAACAGCTTTCAAAAACTGCCATTAGAAGTGCAAAATATGTTTTTAATCTGTAACATTAAAAATGTGGGAAGTATCAGAAAGCACTCATTTATTCAAATTTTTATCTTTAAAGAAAAGGATACTGCTGATAACAATTTTAAAACTGATTTCAGGAAGACACTTTGTAGATTCCCTACACATCTTACTCACTGCTTCTCTGCACCATGTGAAGATGTTCCGCTTTTGCAGCAAGACATTAGTAAAGTTTCAATAATTTCTTTTGCTAAGTGGCAAATCTGAAGGCTAAACTTTACTCTAAAAACAGAGATATCTGCATCTTAACTGCAGTTTTGCTGATAATGTCTGATATTACCAAAATCTTCTGGCACTCATCAGATTCACTTACCAGTTTCTATTTGATTTGCTAGCTTCACATTTTGACCACTTTAGAGTGAGAGATTCAGTTTTTCTTCAGGTCAGGATTCCATCACGGAAATGTCTCCTTGTGAGAGCCTGAACATGGATCAGTGCGAATGTACAATTCAGCATCAAGGAGCTATGAGATATGGTTTAGAGGCTTGTGGTAGCAGTGGTAATGGGAGGACGACTGGACTAGATGATCTTGCAGGTCGTTTCCAACCTTGTGATTCTATGATCAAGGAACTATTGCTGTGCTCTAACCCACACTGCATGACTTAAAAGCAGGCTCCTGATCACTCTTTTGAACACATTTTTTACCACTTTTCATTCATATAGAAAATTCACAGGGTAAACCAAAGTTACACCACTTTCCAACAGATCTGCACAACAAAATTATTATACTTTTAAAAAAAATAAAATTCCCCTGTAAAAATCTGCTGTAGCAAGATAGCTTTTCAAATAAAATGGTTAGAACAAAACTTCGGATTCGTTTTAAAAAGCGTCCACTTTTAATGGCTATCAAAATATTTCTGAATTTATTTTCAAAATTGTTTTGCCATGGATTTATGTTTTAGCAGAGTATTCAAAACCTTACCCTGCATAAATTAAGCAATAAGAATGAAGTTTCATATCTTAACAACACATCAGCTCCTTTAAAATGTGAAACAATGCAGGATTTTATTCCCCCAGGAGGTCAAAGACTATCTTCTCAAAATTTCATGAGTTCTGTGTCATAAATTTCTGAAGAACCAACAAATACACAATACCATACATTTTTCTGACAGAACCCTGATTGGGATAAAACTGGCAGCAGTCTTTTTCCTTAGACCAGACCCTTCCTCTCTTCATCAAGCATGATGCTTACTCCTCAGTTACTAGCATCTTCATTTCCTCTTAATGTTGCATTTGCATCAGCATGCCAACTTTTCAAAAAGCTACAAATTATAGATACACCTACTATCACATGATCATATAGAAGGTTATGCAGAAAATAATCAATTATATTTTGTCCATCACAAATACAGCTAGCTTCCTGTGTATCAAGACATTTATCTTGGGTTTGGCTGTTTTTGTTTTTTGGTGTTTTTTTTTTTGTGAAATATTTGAAACAGGAGGTATAAAAGATTTTTGTAATCCACACACGGGAAAGTCTCCAAATAATTGGTTGGAACTTAACACTCTTGAGAATTCTTCCTTCTATCAAACTTAATTCAAAAGTTGGTAGATGAACCTAAGCAGTCTAATCACATAAGCTTCATTTCTTTGAGAAATCAGACTGAAAACAAAACCCCTTTACAAACAGTAACCATCCCAGAAAATGCATTAATAGCTCGCTGTAAGAAACAAGCTGACACTCCCATTTAAAAGACAGATTAAACATGCTTAAGCAGGATTTCTGTCAATCTGTAGTTAAAAAAAGAAAGAGAAATGTGATACCAAGCCTTAAGAGCTCATGACTAAGTTTCAAATAAAGTTCTGATCACATCCTTATTTCTGCTAGAAAAGAAAAAAAATAGAACCTTGAAAACATAAAGCAAGACTTGACTCAAACATCACCCTACTGCAAAGGTTCTTGAATAGCAAGCAGCAAATGTTTCAACAACACAATGGGAGAACCCTTTCTGCTTCCTAAATATGAATTTATTCTTCCGTTTGACTCAAAGTGGCAGGAACCCTACATGTGTTCACATACACTGCTTCAGACAAAAATGAAGGTGGGAAAACTATCAGTGGTGTCTCTGATGACAGAATAAAGACAGATTAAAGACAGAAGCTCTAGAAGGAAGGATCACATCAAAATAATACTGTTTAAAAGTGAAGCATTTCATATTTCATAGATTTAAACACTGTAAACAAACAAACAAAAAACACAATAATAAAGACAAGCAGAGAAATAAAGTTTGTATAAAATTATTCCATAACTTCAACTTTACAAATAACAACTACACCTGAAGAAGACAAATATTTAGACATGGAAGTCTCAAAAGCCCCTCTAGACTCCTGCACATTGAAATAAAAATATGTTCTTATCCAGGGATAAGGAGTTAAACATCTCAGTTTCAATCACAATGGAATTTTCACAAACTGTAAGCTTTAGGAGCTTACAGTCAGAAAAAGGACGTGCTTATGTAAAACCTGAGAAAAAGTTAAGAAACAGCCTAGTAATAGACTTCAAAAGCTTTTAATTTTCCTTTAAAAAAAAACAGTATCTTAGGTTGTCAATGGCTAACAGTGGAAAAGGGATGGGAAGCAAGAAGACAGTGAAATCATCTTGATCAGTTCTGTAATTCTTAAACAAGCGAGAATCTGCTTTCTTCTACATCCACTGTTTCTCGTGGCACAACGACTGGAAGGTTCAATCTGTAGTTACAAGACAAATTACTCTTTTTTTCTTGGACAGAGCTAAACTGTTTTTGTACTGCAAAGATGAAGTCTCCTGTGATACAAAGCAGAGAGCTTATTCAGAGGAACTTTGTTCTTTGCGTTTCAATATCGAAGTGAAGTATTAGACTTCCACAGATCCTTGATACGTAAAAAAGATTAATTTGATGGTCTGTGATAACACTGTAAAGAGTATTTACTATACCCTGAATGTGCCTGCATGTGAAAAGGGTAATAGAATTCTTCCCTAGGTGATCCACAGAACATCTAAACAAGCTGTACTTTTTACACAACTGCCAAACAAAAAAACTATTGGAAGAGCATTTCATTACTATTTTCCTCTTGGGTGTAACGTAGCGCCTGCAATGTTGTTCTTCCCATCCTTTGTGGAGTTGTGAGCAAAGCAACTACAAAAGAACTGCTTTGTAGTTTTACTTCCATGGAGGCACTCTGCAGTTAAGAACACTTCTGTTTACAAATCAGATGGGCTGTCTGAGACTGAAGAAGAAAACTTAAAACAGTGTTATAGAAACAGTCCCTTTTTTGGCTTTCCTTCATGGTGCTGTATACAGAAATTGCAAGTAAACCTGGGTGGGAGACGGGCAAGTCAAGCAAAAGACTTGCAATTCATTGACTTTGTTGTTGGTACAAATATTCTATCTCATACAGAATGATTTAACCATGAAGTGAATCAGACAAATAGTCACACACACATACGAATATCAAGCAAATACAAGTTTAAAAGTGTGACTGTTTAAAATGCAAGATGTTACTTCTATGAAACCAAGCTTGAGTCCTATCGAGATCTGAGCAAGAATGAGGAAATAGGACAAGGATATTAAACAAAAAAAAAAAGAAAAAAAGAGAGTGAGAGAGAGAGAGAGGGAGAGAAAAACCTTTATTCTTCCCACTACTTCTGTTCCCTTGCAATACTTTCTTTACTCTGCTACAGCAGAGTAATTTTTAGACCAACCATATTATAAAGCATATTGGTAAACTCATCTCATTTTCTGGCAGCACTCAATTTCTATTTGCACAGAATATGACTCATCTACAAGCTATGCAGCAGTTGATGGACTTACCTGAAAACAGTATCTTCAGTTATAGCCTTCACTTTTCCCTGAGAGGCCCTACTTGACAATACTGAGCACAGAGGAGCTGCATTCCACAATAAGTTACAAAACTAAAAGTAGATAATTTTACCAAATATGTGAAAACAGAACACACAGACAAGGTAAGAGGATTTCAAATGCATACATCCCATTCTTGCTTTTTATTGAAAGTATTCAAATACATACTTACATACTTGATTATGTTTTAGAATCTAATCTTTAAGTGTTCCTGTGGCTTTACACTAAAAAGAAACCTGCAGTGATACTTAACTGTGCTAAAATCTGAAATTCCATTCTACTATGATTCAGATCCAAGCAAACATCACGTTTCATATATGAATTACCTTTATCAACTTTACAAGAACTTTTCCTTCCCCCTGCATTCCTCATGTCAAGTTTAG